GTTTGCTCTTGCATTGCAAAAATTATAAAGTAATTTATTATTTATTGTCGGAAGACTTGCCACTTTTCATGTCATTTGACATTTTTTTGTTTGCTGAAGTAAAAAAAAGATAAAGGTTGTACCGTGGTCTTTGAATTATATGTTGAATTTTATGTGTTTTGTCTTTTTTCTTAAATATTATGTGAAATCAAAGCGCCATATGTAGAATTATATCTTCAGGACTATTTCACTAATAAACGTTTGGCATAGATAAATAAATAAACGCAATGATCCAGGGTCCCTCTTTTATATGTTTACAAGTAAGTCGTTAAAATGTCTGAAATTAAGGACTGCATGTGAATTGGGGTAAAATGACATACAATAGGTGTGATGTTTTATTGCAAATAGGGTTGCACTTGCAAGTTTGCATTTTTCAGTAGTTGGCTCAAAACTGCTTGGAAACTTAGCCCTCAGCTGTGATAACGTTATTGGTGGGTTTTGTTTTGTTTTGTCTTTAAATGAGATAATACCCTCTGTCCTATCCACCCCCTTTTTTTCATTTTTCTTAACCCTACCCCCACTGCCCAGCACTTCACCCAAATTAGGAAGAGTCCTGGTCAAAGTAGGTTTTGGTTCTGAGTCACTATTTACCTTCTTTAGAGTGTTTTAAACCTAAGTCTGCACCTTATGACTGTTGAAATGACCCACATTTTTAGGTAAAAGCGGTATAAGCGCTGGTAAAAGAGGTTTTCTGCCTGGCCAGTGAGGTATGACCATTATTTACCAGCGGCGGCTGTCAGTCCATTGAGAAATGCTGCATTATTTGCGCAGTAAAAACAGGCCCAGAGAGGAGTTTTCTCAGCAATTCCCAGGCCAGCCAGTGTATCTTTGCTGCGTCCCACCCCGCCCCCGACTTGTTCCCTACCCCCACCCTTTCCTTTTTCTTCCCCAACTCCAATTCCAAAACCCATGCCAGGGGGTACTGGCTAGGGCAGAGACCTCCGCGGAGGCTGTTGGAAAACCGCATTTTAGGAAATGGGGGCCGGTGGGTTGTTCTGCATCGGGGCTTCGGGCAGAGTTACCTGGACATGGGCGCTCAAAGACTGTATCCCTCCTGGCATTTGGCACTAGATCTCCGTGAAAGCCAGGTACTAGGGACAGATAAATGGTCCCGCTCGAAATCAGGCTTCTAGTCACTTCTTCGTTTGCGGGTGTAGAGTTCGGATTTGGGGCACCACCCTGTCGCCTTTCCTCCCTACTTTGACTCTTTAGAAAATGGATGCCTTTGTATGCGTACGTGTAATACAGTTTTTAAGTATCTGATAACTCTTAATAAATACGAAAGCTAACATACCCAAATCCTGTGTCCTGTGCCATGTGCCCCTTCGGACCCCCTACAGGGAGTAGGGTGGCGGCTGGGCTGCAGACTGGGTGAGCCCCACGGCTCCCCCGCTCTCAAGTCGCTTCCACCCTCTCCCAACCTGCCGCAAGTCGGGAAACGAGCCTCAATTAGGCTTTTGTTTGGCATCGTTCTACATAACGGGTTAATTACAGGCTCTAACGTGGGGGCAGAGAGAAAACAAACTTTGCATTGAAAATGTTACAGTGCATTAGACATGCCCGTTGATTACTTTGATTGTTGTGTCTAATTCTTGACAGAGGGGTAATAATTTGGCCGGCGGTAATAATGGCTTGTAGTCTAGTCTGTTGAGAAAAACAGGAGTTATGTCTTATCTCACACGGATCTTCTCGGAAAAGGCCCTTTTCTTTTTTCTTTTTCTTTTTTTTTTTTTTTCCTTTTCTTTTCTCTCTGGTCTCCTCCAGTCTCTCACACCGGACTTGACTCTTAGCTCCCAGCACATTACATCTATTTGCTTTTCTTTTCAGCTTTACTTTTTCCTCACCATCATACCTGAGATGGCTAACTATTAATAAGGGCAAGGAAGGCAGGCCCAACTTAATATTGGTGTCACATGTGCAAAGTTATCGCTAGCCCAGACCTGAAGTTGGGAACCCTGAAGATCTCTTCAGCCAGAAGCCTCTGGTGGGAGGAGCTTTGGAGAAAGTTAGGACCCAAAGATGTAAAAAAAACTTTATTTAGAGTTTGAATGCAATGAAAGGAATTAAGTGAGGCACATCTTTGTGCTTTGTGATGCTTTTTCATCCTGACATTTATTTCTAAGATCAGGGTGGGGGGTGGGAAGGGAAGGAGTTGATGTTTTATATATATATAGATGTCAGTCTATTTCTGAAGTCCACAGCTTGAATTTAAGTACAGTAATTTGGGAAGGGAGTGATGAATGATTTGGTTTCACTTGCTAGATTCAAGATATTTGTTGCCTGATGACTGAGAATGGATTGATGGGTCGATAACATTCTCATTTTTTGTATTATTCATATGAAAGGTGTGTTCCCTTCTAGACTCCTCAGCATGCGCTCTAAAATGTGTAGCTGAAATGTCTTCTTGTTTGCAAACCATTTCTTGCACATTCTCTCCTGTTCTCTGCGCACCTCTGGAGACCTAGTTTTAAGCTGCGCGCTTCTAATGAAATTCCTCCTGTTTGGTATTATCTTTGATCCTCCCTCCTCTTATTACTCTGAATTCTTCCTTCTGGACATTATGACTCATTTCCTCTAGCTTCAGCAAGCTAAAATTTAGTGCAACCAAAAACATCCAGGACACGCTCTTTAAGTGAGGGAATCCATACCAATATCTATAAAGAATGGACTTTATCTTATTGCTTCTTCTACTTCAGTCTACTGTCTTTCCCTTTTATGAAATGGACCTGGTTTTTCTGACCGGGAAGAAGCGCCTTTCTAAATTAGAATCATAGTTGAGGAGATTTTGTTCTTGAAATAATACTTCTGGGTATTTGAGATTCCATGTGGGTGTGTGTGCCCACTTACCAGTTTACAACATTTTTGGAACTGGAGACTAAATACAAGATTTTGTGATGCTCTGCTGCTATTTCACCTTGATCACTTTGTTAATAAACTCACCCTGCCGACCTTTTTTCTAGCCTCTTATCCTTTTGACTACCAGCCAAAAAAGACAATGTGCTTTTAAGTTACCTACAAGTAGTTTGCATTTCCGAACACCTTGAATTTTTAAGCTATAAGATCCTCCTCATTGAAATATCTCTTGTAATTCCCATGTGGGTTTACTTAACTTCCTCCCTTTTTCTTAAAAAAAGGAAAGACGAAAATGTTAAACTTGGTGCAAACCACCAGAAGGGATACATTTTGATGGAACATAGCCAATTTGGGCTTTTAATCTCACTCCTGGTGGAAGTAAACTAAGGAAAAGTACTTATTTTCTTATTTGTAGAGTTCAGTTAGTCAACTTTTTAAAAAGGATATTTATAATCCAAATTATGCTTGAGCTCTATTAACTACTCCATTTCTGATAATCAACAATTAAAGACTATTTCACAATAAGAAGTCAAATTTTCTTTGGAGGTGCTGAAGAAAGGAGGAATCAATTGTCTTTCTTTATTTTAAAATTGTTACTTTTGAAACTGGCCCCAAATCTTGAATTCTTTTTAACTGTTTGAAATACAAACAGCTTGTACAGTCTGACTGGATGTTTTTAAAACTAAAATGCAAGTAGTTAATTCAGGGCGCTGGCAGTCCATTCTGTTTACTGATCTTTTTTGATTGTTGTTTTCTTGATAACCGAGCAAGCCACTGAATGACTGTTTGAGCCCAGGCGCCACAAACATAAACTTCACAGCTTACAATGTCCCAAGTCGTGATGGAGGATCTCTCCACACCTCCCAGGGACTTCTTAAGTGTAGACAGAGAAGTTGGTTCACAGGGAACTGAGGAGGGGGAGGGGCGGGAAGGGAGGCCGCTCAGTGTTCGCTCTGAACATTGTTACTCTCCCATCTTTTAATTTTTATGGCGCTTAGACTGTTGCTTCTGCGAAACCATTTCCGTGCCTTGGAGAAACCAGTCTCTCCCCATAGCCTCATTTAGGACTACTTGATTCAATTTATTTTTTTTAAAGTTTCCTTGCAAATATGTTTTTCTTAATTATCCTTCTGCAAAAGGACTCAGCAATGATAAGCAAAGCTTTCTGGGGGAAAAAAAAAACAACCCACAAAACTTCCCCATCCCTCCACGAAAGGGTACTCCTACGTTGGGGGTTGGGGGATGTGGGCTAAGATTGCTTTTCCTCCAGGTGGGGAGAAAAGACACATTGAATTGCCTTTTAGGACAGCTCTATGGGAGAGGCCGCTTAGCTCTCCCCTTGCCTGAGATTCTCCTTCCATCCCACTGCTCAAAAGTTTGTGTTCATTTCAGGGTGATGTTTCTTGCGAATTGGATTGAGCTAGCTGCCTGTTTGTCGGTCTTCCTAGTGGTTCTCTGTCTTGGTAGGTTTCCCAGGTCCAGCGTGCAGGGCAGCGCCTGTCTGCTCTCAGGTTTGAAGTATGCTGGGTGTCAGGGATGGGGACCCGACCCTGGTCTAACCAGCGCCGCGACTCCCGCAGGCAGATCAGCCCCTGCTCCCTTAAAGAAGGGACACTCGTGGCCCGGGAGAGGAAAAATGGTTGTTGCTGGGCCCTTCTCTTTCAGGAGTTGATCAGGTTGGCAGATCTCGAGGACTAATCCAAACAAGGCGCTTGACTTGTGAGGTCGCGAGTCTAGACAGAGATGGTGGCTCGGCGGCTCCTTATCTTTCCCTGGAATCAGCCGAAGAGGCGCTCCCCAGCCCACTGCGCGGGGCTCGCCGGGGCCGGAGCCACCGCGCGGCGCAGACAGCACAACAAACACAGCACCTGAGGCTTTACAGCTTGCTTTATTGTTTGATGGGCAATGCTACAAAATAGTTGTTTGTTTTCTCGGCCCAGCGCCCTCGGCCGCTTCGCGTTCGGGCCAGCCGCCGACGCTGGGTGGGGGTGCGCCCCTGCGCCCCCGCGCCCCGCTCCCGCGCGCAATGGTGATCGCGCCCCACGGCGGCGACCCGCTCAATCACATTCCTCCCGGCTCTGGGCGACGCGTGCCAGGGCGGGTGGGAAGCCCAACCGCTGCGCTTTTCTTTATTCCGCACCCGGGAGGCAGCTCGGGGCGAGGTGTCCTGAGCTAATCCGGTATCTCCTCTGCCTGCCTGGAAATGACAATTCCGCGCTAGAGCCACTTATGGTTTGCGGGGTCAGCGGACTCTGACTCAAGGGCGATCAATAAAAACGTTTAGTTCAGTAATAAGCTGCTTTTACCCCCCGAATATACTGGGAAAGTTGCGTCACTCTGTTGGACAGGGTGTCCCTGAGCGGCGGAGCGGCCCTTCTTTCCCTGTGAGTACAAAAAAGTGGCGTGGCTCCCCCAGTGTTTTGGTGACCACGTCCCTGAGCAAGCCACGAAGCCTTTCTTGATCCTCCTACTGGCTGTCACCACCAAGAATGGCACTGCCATCCACTGGGGAGCAAGGGGCCCTTGGGACAGAGCTTGTAGTGCTCCTTTGAAATAGAAATAGCCATGCTTGGGGATTTATAATGAAGGATTTTGTGGCTCAAATTTCAAATTAATTGAGTGAGAGTAAGTTAATTCTAATTTTGGTTCTTCCCTATGGGATTTTTTTTTCTTGTTTCAAAAAGGAGAGTTTCTAGTTACATCTTGTTATTCACTGTTCACATTTGCAAGCAACATTATACGTGTGTGTCATTGGCATGGAATAGATAATCTTGTCTCTGTTTGAAAACTAACCGTAAATGTAGGTGAGAGTAATTTGGTTATGTGCTTAATGTTGTGTTAATACAGACACCACCATTTCCCAGCTTTGGTGACACTGCAAATTCTCATCTCAGGGCTGTCCCCCTGCCTGGTCTCAGCTCCACAACTGTGTTTCAGATGGAAAAAAGACAAAGTAAGATAAAATCCAAGTTTCATGAATTTGAAGGATTACTGCAGGGAAATGAAAACACAATAACATTTCTTCCTTCAGAAAATAATCTTTAACTGTAAGGCAGGCACTAACTTTTCTTTTTCTCATGGGTAAGAGTTGCTGTTTATTTTGACCTGTCACAAATACAATGTGTTGTTTGAAACTTATTCAACTTAGCAGGTATATGGAGATAATACTAGGCAGGCCACTGAATGTGATAAAGTAAAATACGGTGGGAATAAACTAGTAAGGCCTATGAAGGCTTTTGCATTTCTCCAATAGCTTTTTAATTAACATTTCCTTAAGATGTTACATTTTCTCATACTTCTGTAATATCAAAAAGTTGAACTGGTTGTGTGATGCACCGTAAAGATATGATTGCTAAAATGTTAATTGTGCCATTTCTGTTTTGCAATTATTTTGATAATTTAAAATTGTTTTAAATATTTTTTTTCTCAAAAATTGCCCGCCATAAGGTAAAAACATGTTTTGTCTTAAAATTTTCGATAATTACTTATAAGAGTAACTATTATTATTTTTTATACAGTAGATTAAAATACATTTAATAAAGGAAAGGTGTGTCTAATTTGGGGGGAGGACTAGGCAGAGAAAATAGAAATAAATGATTTAGATTTGCAAAGAGCATACTTTGAAATAGTATGTCTTAAACAGTAAAGTGAAATATTTATGAAATAAATATTTGAAAATAGTGAAAATTTCACTTAAAATTCACAAACTGTTACTACTGACATTTAAAATTTTGTATCTTCTAAGAATGTTTGTTATGGGAGATAGTGTTCAAGATAAAGTACTTGAAATAAATAACATTTATTTAGGAACCTAAATAACATTTTAAGACTTAATTTTCAAAACAAAAGGAGTTACTGTATTTGTAAAATACAGAAATTTGCTTCCCCAACAATAAATGCTGGTTCTAAAAAGATGATTTGTGGAAAATACAAGTTACTAGTTTCCGGATAATGAAAATGCTTAGTAAATTTTGAAATCAGCAAGATATGGAAATACTTTAGAGATTAATGCTTAGAAATCTGTTTTTACATCAAAGTATATTTCATAATTATCAGACTATGATGTATCCTTGAAGTTTAACAACTTCAGAGATACTAGTCTCTCTTGCATTTTATGTATGGCCAAATTTCTACCTATTTGCCAGAAGTTGAATTTTTGGATGAAGGATGATATATTGCCAGTAAGAACTCACCTTTAAGTTCTGTTTTCCCACCACGGACTTCATAAGTCTCATGAATGCTAATGAGAAGTGTCCTTATGTGTCATGTGCAAAAATAGGACTTGGAGATATTTCACACAGGAATATCTTGTAGCCAGTATGCTGGATTAAATTGACCTAAGAAGGGGCTTCCCAGGTGGCACAGGGGGTTAAGTCTCAGCACTATGAAGCTATCTGCAGCCACTGCAGCATGAGTTCGATCCCCTACCAGGGAGCTAACCCACAAGGCCCAGCAGACCTCGCCTGTCTCAGCTGCTGCTCCACTCAGCAGTGTATTTAAGTCATTCTGCCTGTTCTGTTCCCCACTCAGTCTCTGGTGAATCCTCTCACCCCCCCCCCGCCCCCCTTCTCCCTGCACCTCTGGCCTGTACCCCAGTTCTTGTATGCATAAATAACAAATCAATCTTTATTAAAAAATTGACTTAAGAAGTATTTCAGTCTCATCTTGGCCCAGATAATACTGTAGTCTCACAGTCAAAAGTGATCATATGAAGTGATAGGCTTAGACTTGGCTTTAAAGACAATGCCATAAAAAATGAATAGCTTGAAAATATTTTTCCCTACCTTTCAAAATTTTAGGAGTAATCCTTAGTTCAGAAAACCTTCTGTCAGGCAAATGGTAGAGCTTCACTCTCCTAAGATCTAGGACCAAACTGGCCTATGTTGCTTACTTGCCACGTATAAAGTTGTTTCTATTGAATTATTTACTACAACTTGAGTGATGCTTTATTTGTTTTCATTTTGTAGCACTGATGGACTATATGAAATCATTCTTGTGGATAAATGTATGCATTTGTAATGTGTATTATGGCAACCTTTGGCTGTGGCCTAGAATTTTCTCTAAGGCAAAAAGCTAAGTGGCTGGTATTAGAATAGAGTCTGCAACATTACAGAATTGAGGGATGGTCCAAGAGTATAAATGATGAATGTTGTTTGTCATGAATTTTTTTTTAGTTATTCAAGTTAAAATCTTCTAGAATCACACTACAAATGTAGAATATTTTCAGTTTTTATTGGGATTATCAAGAAAGGAGGCAGTTTCTCTGAGCAAGAGTTGCAGAGTGGGGCCTCCCTGGTGGCGCAGCGGTTGAGTGCTGGGCTGCGAAGCTGCCCGCAGCCTCTACAGCGCCGGTTTGATTCCAGGCCGCCTGGCGAGGGTCCCACATGGCGCGCAGACCTCTCCTGCTGCCCGCTGCTCCCCTCAGCAGTGTACCTTGCCAGTCTGCCTGTTCTGCTCCTCCGCTCTGGCTCTGGTGAATTCTCTCACCCTCCCGCGCTTCTGACTGTATCCAGTGCTTGTATAAATAAATAAATAAATAAATAAATAAATAAATAAATAAATAAATAAATAAATAAATAAATCTTTAAAAAAAAAAAAAAAGAGTTGCAGAGTGGCTGTTTCTGCCATGACATGGTACTTTTCTATCTATGAAGCACTTTACAGTCATTAGTTATGCATGAGAGCCTGCAGAGCCCCTTTTCCAATGACCTCAGTACCTGTTTCTCAGAACAATTCTCAATTCCTTTGTCTTTCCTTTATATGTGTAAAGAGCAGAACATCAAAGAAGCAATACTCTGTCCCTGATGACTTCAGTGAGGACTACATTAGATCAGAGAATAGAAACTATTTTGTAGACATTTTCAGTGATGTCTACTCTCTTTACTTCAAGAAATCAAGGGGAGATGCTGCATGGTAAAGCACCTGGGTGAAATAAGCTAGCAAAACTGAATTTTTTCTCCTGAAGGCAGTGACTCTCAAACTTCTGCTGTCAGGACCCTTTACCTGCTTCATAATTAGTGAGGATCGCAAAAAGCTTTTGGTTATGCGAGTCATCAGTACATACTGTGAGATAAAATTAAAAATAATCATTTGAAATATTCATTTAAAATGGTATGCTATCTGTTAGCATTAATAACCTTAGTGAAAAATAAGTATGGATTACAAAACAAAGAAAATGAGTGTGAAGAGTGGGATAGCTTTCTATTTTTGTAAATCTTTAAAATATCTGGCTTCGTTTAGCTTAATTTTCATATCTGCTTCCTCATTCAATCTGTAGCAATATCCTACATCATAGAGCCTCTGTCCACTTATGAGAGAATGAAAGTAAATAGGTAAATAATGTTTCAGCATTATTATAAAACAGCTTTGACTTTACAGACCTCCTGAAAAAGATTAAGAGGCAACCCCTCAATAGTCTCCAGAACAGATACTGAGAAACTTTGCTTTAAAAATGGACTTTTGCAAAAGGATTATAGAGAAGTTATTGCTTAAAGGAATTTAATGCTTACATTAATGCTTTGTTGATAAAGGTTTGTCTTTAAATTAACTCTGATCACAGTTTTATTTTGTGACTTTTCCACTCCATAATTGAACACTGATCTAAAATTCCCTGATATACCAGACTTTGAGGAAAAAATATTGTGATGTTTTATAATTGAAAATTTAAGGCTCCATTCTAAGAAACTCTAGGAGAGATAGACTTGAATGTGAATTAGTATATGCAAAATCTTGTAGTTACCTTTATCTTTTAGAGATCTTTTTACCTTTTATCCTGTAAAGTTGTGGCAGATGAAACACTGTAGAGAACTTGACATCTATAACAAATAATACATTTGACCTAGGTGGGAGTTGCAAGCCACAGCATTTTGAACCAAGAAATTAAAATTGTTATAGTAAGGAAAAATCATTTAGTTTTGGAACAAGTTATACTGTGGAATTAAGGACTAAAAACTTGGAAACTAACAAGTCAAGGATCATAGTGGTTCAGGGCAAGGGGAGGATCTTTTTATGCTAACTATGAGGAGAAAAAAAGGAATTGGCTCTGAGATATTGACTGTAGGAAACTGGCATTTGCCCATCAGAATTTGATTTCCCTTCTTCATCAGCACGTGGACCAGCTGCACATCCCTGATTGTTTTACACGTGAAGGGGCGGGGCAGGGGACACATGATCACAAACTTACCAGTGGATTCTAAGCAGAAGCAATGTGGGTTATTCCAGGCTTAGGTCTTGGATGGTAGGTGTATTTCCTTTATGATCTCTTTTTTCCTTCCAACTGGCTGGGACCTATGAAAGCCCAGTTTTAACTGGACAGATTATGAAAGTGCCATAGGGATGTGAGGGGACAAGAAGATGGAAATAACCAATGTCCTAAATAACCTTGGGGAATGCAGTTGCCCACCAACCTGAAGCGTTCAGCCCAAGCTATAAGTAAGAAATAAAATTTTATCTGCTTTGTAACACTGAAATATTATTGGGCCTATTTATTACATCATCCTAGTGTTACCCTAATACCAACTGGATATTGTCTAGCATATGGAAGAAGTAAGAAGTCAAGCATGATCTAAAGTTCTGAATTTGAATTATAGATTCTGAATGAATCATGTATATATTCACATATACAATCACCAATCTTTGAAATATTTATCTAGTGTTTATATCTAGTGCAACACTATTCTGTATGCTATTTGTTTAGCAGTGAAAAAACAAAGTTCTTACCCTTTTGAAGCTTCTTTTTTTTGTGTGGTGCATTCACTGAAATACAAATCAGTGCATAGTACAATAGAGGTAATGAGAAAAGCTATGAATAAAAATCAAGCAGACAAAGGGGATAGAAAATTTAAGATGGAGTGATCGAGTGAAGCTCGAGGAGGTGACTCTTGAGGTAGCGAGCAGGTACCTTGAGGAGGTAGTGAAAATGAGACATGTAAAACTGCATCAATTCTATATTGA